TCCACAACCTCTGATACCTCCCTAACCACTTCCTCTCACCTTTTGCTGTGAGCTCCTCTTATTGCAGTCCTCTCATCGTTGCCGTGAGCTCCTCTTATTGCAGTCCTCTCATCGCTGAACTCATCTTCTCGAAGACGATGACTCTTTGACTCCTCAAGTTGTTTTCGGTACTATGTGACGGTTTCATGTCTATTTCATATTTAAGATCTCTTTAAATCATCAAATATGCACTTTTAGATAATCTAGATTTTTCTTTGATTTTTTTAATTTTTCTTTTTTTGAATATTTATACATATCTAAATTAGATTGCTGTTTGACTTTGCGTTTTTTACTGCTATTTTGCCACAATAGCTCCAAAAAATCTTAGCGATGCCTCATCGTTATGCGATGCTATTTGTTACCGATAACATTGACTGTATCTAACTACTATAACTTGCAAAAACTTTAGTAGATGGTAAAGTATACAAAAAACTGAGGGCAAATAGTAACTAAAACAACGGTAAACCTGTAGTGAAAACCTATAGTCAAAACAATGCCTTCATGCTATGGAGAGAAAAATGCAAACAAGTGCATTGATACCAGTTGATAAGACAACACAGTCAAATATAAATAGTAATTTAAGTAGTGAAAAACATGTTTTGTCTCCATTGCTCACGCTGAAATAAAATAAAAAAAGGAAAATAAATTAAAGATTTATTCACTTTAATACCCCTAAAGTTTACCCACATTTTCACTTTAATATCATGGAATTTTTTTAACACTTCGATACCCCAAAATTTCAATTCCACTTCACTTTTATATCCCGACATCTTTTTTAACATGTTGATACCCCAAAGATTCAATCTCATTTCACATTGATACTCCCATCTAGATGCCATTAGGTTTTCCATTAAATTTGCATAATGTGCTTAGCAAGTGGGTAACATAAATCCAAATGTATGATATATCCAATGTTACAGAAGACGCTAGGTAGACTAGGCGTTTGAGCGAGCGCTTAGACCCCTAGGCATTTTGACTATTTTTAAATTATTTAATTATAATAATTGATAAAAATATGTATTAAATTCATACAAATTTTTTAAAAAAAAGATAGCAATCTTAGTTCCATAATAAATCATGCATACTTAGATACTAAATAGTCAAAACAATAATTAACAAGGCTAGAACTTAAAATGTTTTTTTATTTTTAATTACAATAATTGATAGTGAATGCCAATGTTATAGAAAGCTTAGATGCCGGACTGGTGTTTAGGCGGATTTTTTTCCTCATTTAAGCGGTGGTCGATGAGGTTTTGCTGAAGATCGGAGGATGCAGTGGAGGTGTTCATATTTGGAGGTTAATGGAGTTTGGAGGACGTGTAGGCTACAACACATAAAATTACAACCAAGGCCTATAGGATGCAATCTACATAAGCAGACAATGATCCCCTAAACGCTTGTAAAATCTAGATGGGCAGCCTAAATACCGCCTAGACGCTAGACGCTAGTTAGGCAGCCTATCCCGCCTAGACGCTAGACGCTAGTTAGGCAGCCTAGGTACCGTCTAGGCCTAGGCGTACGCCTAAGCGGACTAGGCGGAGGTTTTTTAAAACAGTGGATCTATCATATGTTAAAGACTTAATATAAATTTAATAGAAAATCTAATGTAATCTGGATGGGGTAACAAAGTGAAACATGTTTGACACAATTGAAACTTTAGGGTAACAAAGTGTTAAAGAAATATTTTGGGATGCAAAGTGAAATAGCATTTAAAATTTAGGGTGTCAAAAGTGATAAAATGATACTTTGAAATATTAAAGTGAAAATATTTGTAGACTTGTGGTACTAATGTGAAATAAGCCAAGAAGAAGAAGATAAGGGTGAATTTAAGAAAACCCCCCTTAGCTTTCAAAATGTCACAAAACCGTCTTTAAGTTTTGGGGTTCTCAAAAAACCACCTTCCACTTTCAACATTTTTCAAGAAAAAGTCTAACAACATTAACCGCAAATTTCACATCTGTAGGTAAAATTACACACGGGGATATTTTGTCGGTGAAAATTGTGGTTCACACTTTTATGAAGTCTTTTAAAAAATGTTGAAAGTTAAAGGAATTTTCTGAGAACACCAAAATTTCAGGGGGTTTTATCAAATTTTAAAGTTAAGATATAAGAGCTTAACTGAGAAACGCCCAAACATAGAGAGGTTTTGTCAAATTTTCCAGTAGAAAAGATTCGCTCTTTAACTAGTCTCTCTCCCCATTTCCAAACACATAAACAACAAAATTGCTCCTTGAGCTCAGCAAGAATGGAACCCAATCCTCTTTTCAAATTAAAATAATGAAGCAGCTAGGTATCTTGTATTCAGCGGAAACCCGACATGAATATAAGCTTGATGAGCTCTATTGGCTGAAGTGAGACCCGATAAATTTCATTTTGGCTTAGTGGGTCTAAAAAAACATAATACAAATATAAAAATATAACTTTTAATATAAAAACGAATATACATATAGACATAGTGTGGTATCTACAGTACAACTCCTAAAAAGAAACATTTTTATTAACTAGCAGAAAAAAATTCCAACCAAAATGTTTAAACCATTATTTCTTTGGCTTCTTTCACATACAAGTATGACTCCCAAAAAAAAATTATCCAAAATATTTAAAAATAAATTTCTAAAATGAAATGTTTAAACCATTTTTCTTATTGCCTTTTATCAACGGTATGACTCTTAAATTCACAAATTACAAAATAAATTTCTGAACCAAATGGTTACAGCGTTATTCTTCTTTTTTGACTAATTCATGTATAATACAACTCCCAAAAATGTTATCACTATCGAGATGCTCAACATCTTTTTTCTCATAAATTAAAATAGAAATTTCTAAACTGAAGCTTAAACCATCAAATTTTTGCATTCTTTCATACTAATTTATCAGCAACACAACACTGAAAAACAATTTTATCCACAAATTTAAAAAAATCTAGACTAAATGAATAACCATTACTTTTTTATTTGCATATTAAGGTCGTGGCATCACTCGGGTCAATTATGCTCGTTAAATATGATTGTGTTTGTAGAATTTACCATTCATGCTTAATTTTTTTCCCAACAAGTCCACAACGAGTAAATGGTTAATAACAGAATTGAGTTTCCTCCCCCCAACAAGCTTTTAGGGTGAGTTCTCTTAGGTCTCCTCCACTAGTTTCTAGTTGTGCTAATAAACACAAAATTTGAGCTATCAGTCTAACTATCACATCATTCCCGTAACTGTTTGACGTGTCTCATTCTTAATTTGTTCCTTACTTCATGCATACTATTTTCTTTAGCAATAGAGTATTCCAAAGCACAATATTTTTCCCACAAGTCCGTTCTTGTCTACAAAAGGACATATTTATCGATGCTGCGGGAGGAATCATATATTTCTCTCTTTTTTTATCTGCATTATTTAATTTTGTTTATTCGATCAAAGACCTTAATGTAAGTTATAGAATTTTTCTTCACTGGCAATGAGAAAACCTTTAGCTTATTCACGATTTATTCTATGACTGGAAGTTTACTAGTAGTTGCAACTTGCAACATGAGGTATTCAGAAATTTTTTGGCACTTATATGGAATTATTGACCAATTGATGGGGGCATATCACTTGCTGTTTGGTGTTTACAGTCCTCTCTGAACTTCCTTTGTTTGAACTTGGATTCATTAATAAAGATCCCACATTAAAGAGTAGACCCAATCTAAGTCAAGGGCCACATGTCGGTGCGACAGAAAGAGAAAAATATTCCTCTGAGCCAGTTTTATAAAATATCACCATTGTCATCTAAAGAGTCTGCAATCCCCAAAAAATTTCTCCACACTATGCCGGAGCGAGAAACTTTAGCTTGGAGGGGCCAAGAATCCAAGATACATAAATTGACTCTTATTTCTTTCATTAAGAAGAGAACATTTACTCCAGACCAATTTTATATGTTTTTTAATCCTAACATTCATAATAGAACCCAAACACAAAAGTCATATGACGATATAAGAAAATGAAAGAGAAGTTGATAAGGTAAATAAGTAATAGACTTTGTCTAATAAGGTAAGATTATATAGCTTTATAGGTAAAATTAGTAGAGGTGCCCAACTTAGGTAGAAGCTCATAACTTAGGAGATATATACTTTGTCTAATAGGTAAAGTTCCAAAATCTTGA